GTGTCAGCGCAGTGTGTGTGCGCATTAAGCCTGTGTATGTGATTCACTTTTGTTCTGCGCTTCAGCTGTTGACGGAAACAGTTGGATGGAAGGATAAAGAGCGAGAGAGAGAGTCTTTTACTGCATTGTCTTCATCAGATCTGCCACGAGCTCATGCATTGATCACAGATACGGCCTGTCAGTTTGACACCCGCTCCATCTCTACTCACCCGCTCCAACCGTTTCCACAGGCAAACCGGGAACGCGTATATGCGTTTTTTTTAAAGCGTGAGCATAAGAGGGGTGCTGAATATGTCCGTTTTCATGTGCTTAACGTGAACCGTTTCTTGATTTTGATGCAAAGTTGATCCTTGCAGCTCTAGCCCAAGTTGTTTGATTGTCTCTAATAGCTGTGTGCATGTACAGAAGCTAACTGTGTGGTCAGGCAACTGGACTTTACTGCCTTGCTAAGTGCTAAAGAGAAGTGTGTGTTGAACAGCTCTATAAACCTGCTCATCAGCCCTCCCGGCCCGACACTGCCAAAGCCTGCACATGCTGAGTGGAGAGGCGCTCTGTAGCCTCTCTGTACAGAGTTATGGGGCTTTGATGGGAAATCTTAAACACATTGCGAGCACTCCTCAGCATATGTAGGCTGACTGCTCACCGCAGAGTGGTTTTGGACCGGGTTTTCTGAAAGGCATTTAAAGACCAGCTAACACTCTGTCATAACCTAAGTCGTGTTTCTCGGCACAGTCAAATGACAACGAGAGCAGAAAAGTCTAAAGAGGAGCCAGACATAAAGCCAGTTTGTCTTAACACAAAAAAGGTGCGTTCAAGTTTAGCAAAATTTTGACCAAATTTTGTGGGTCCTTTGTGTACTGTCAATAATTTATTGATGTCATTTTCATACCAAAAAGCGTTCTGTTGGTCATTGCGGTGAAACCATGTGACCAACTTGAACACGCTGCGAAATTTGCAACTTTTTCACCCTCAAAAAAAAAATCCTGATTACGTGGATTCCTATTGGAATTACTGAATTTCGCACTCAAAAATTTGTTGCACCTTGCAAAAGGGTATTGTATGTACATTTGAGAAAGGGATTCTGGGAAATGTAGTGAAAGTCCTGAGTCCTGAGCAATACCCCAAAACATGGTATTCACTATGTTTTTTGGACATACCATGCACTTTGTTACCATCACGCTAGCGTGTCAGCGCAGTGTGTGTGCGCATTAAGCCTGTGTATGTGATTCGCTTTTGTTCTGCGCTTCAGCTGTTGACGGAAACAGTTGGATGGAAGGATAAAGAGCGAGAGAGAGAGTCTTTTACTGCATTGTCTTCATCAGATCTGCCACGAGCTCATGCATTGATCACAGATACGGCCTGTCAGGTTGACACCCGCTCCATCTCTGCTCACCCGCTCCAACCGTTTCCACAGGCAAACCGGGAACGCGTATATGCGTTTTTTTTTTAAAGCGTGAGCATAAGAGGGGTGCTGAATATGTCCGTTTTCATGTGCTTAACGTGAACCGTTTCTTGATTTTGATGCAAAGTTGATCCTTGCAGCTCTAGCCCAAGTTGTTTGATTGTCTCTAATAGCTGTGTGCATGTACAGAAGCTAACTGTGTGGTCAGGCAACTGGACTTTACTGCCTTGCTAAGTGCTAAAGAGAAGTGTGTGTTGAACAGCTCTATAAACCTGCTCATCAGCCCTCCCGGCCCGACACTGCCAAAGCCTGCACATGCTGAGTGGAGAGGCGCTCTGTAGCCTCTCTGTACAGAGTTATGGGGCTTTGATGGGAAATCTTAAACACATTGCGAGCACTCCTCAGCATATGTAGGCTGACTGCTCACCGCAGAGTGGTTTTGGACCGTGTTTTCTGAAAGGCATTTAAAGACCAGCTAACACTCTGTCATAACCTAAGTCGTGTTTCTCGGCACAGTCAAATGACAACGAGAGCAGAAAAGTCTAAAGAGGAGCAAGACATAAAGCCAGTTTGTCTTAACACAAAAAAGGTGCGTTCAACTTTAGCAAAATTTTGACCAAATTTTGTGGGTCCTTTGTGTATTGTCAATAATTTATTGATGTAATTTTCATACCAAAAAGCGTTCTGTTGGTCATTGCGGTGAAACCATATGACCAACTTGAACACGCTGCTAAATTTGCATCTGCAACTTTTTCACCCTCAAAAAAAAATCCTGATTACGTGGATTCCTATTGGAATTACTGAATTTCGCACTCAAAAATGTGTTGCACCTTGCAAAAGGGTATTGTATGGACATTTGAGAAAGGGATTCTGGGAAATGTAGTGAAAGTCCTGAGTCCTGAGCAATACCCCAAAACATGGTATTCACTATGTTTTTGGACATACCATAAGGCGTACATAAAAGTCCTGTTCTGTTCTGATGCCTGTAGAGGAGAGAAGATCAGTCTTCTTTAACTCACAATACAATGCAGGACATACGCACAAATATGGATCAGAAATGAAACCGGCAGGTATATATTTATCATTCACAATGACATGGCTTTAATACAACATAGATTCTTCAAATGTCTAGACAACCCAACCCAACATAGATTCCAGACAGTGTTAAAGGATTGTGAAAAAAATTGGCTTTGGATGAAACTCAAACTTATATAGACCCACATACATAAACTAAAATAAAAATAGCTTTTAGAAAGAAAAAGCATATAAGAAAAAAATTGTGCAGCTTATAAAATAGTGAAATAGACATAATCAAAAATAACAATTACAGATATGTTCAAAACGTCAAATAAAAAGGTTTAGGAACGTGAGAGCCTGGCGCAACACATTTTCTAACGCCTGGTTGTCATTTGCCACATTAGCAGACAGAAAAGAGTGTACTTTCATTATGGCCAGGCCATTAGCTTCCATCAAAAATGAAGTGCACATTTCTGGAAAACGCGTAACCGGAAAAGTGCACTAATGGGGATCGTTTTGTGCTTCATTAATGTTTATAGATAAAACGCTACGAATTTGCTGCGCATTTTAATCTCTTTTGTTTGAACAATTATACGAATTGTTATAACAGTGTATTATTATTATTATTTCAGGACATTATATTCATTTTAATCAGCTTGAGCTAGCTACATAATGAATTATTTATTTCTTTGTCACCCCTCCTTATCGTTCTATCAGCCTCGCTGTCTTTTTGTTTTATTCAGATTGTCGCGCTGAAGTAAATCCCTTTTTATGCAAAAAGTTGAGGGAAACATGTGTCTGCATGTGTTTATGCAAAGTTCAATGAGTCTTAGATGATGCGCTCCTTCTTACCGTTGCTGTAAAGAAGCTGCAATCTGTAATGGATCCCATTGTTTGTCTTTTCTCCGGTACTTTCCTGCAAAAATAAATAAATTCGATGGTTAGCAAGAAAAACCTATTTGACTATTTCTGACGAGCCCCGTGAGTCAGACCGGCTATTTCCCTGCGGACCAGGAGGCCATAGAAAACAAACAAGAAACTGCAAACGCGCATTAGCCAGCCGAAACAAAAACGGTACAAAATATAGTCATTTTCACTGAGTAAACGAACGGGTTAAAAAATAGCTTACTCACGTCTTAAAAGAAAGAAAAAAGTTTGTGTATTGTACAGTGTGATTTCACAATTCAATAACAACGTGCTCGGGGTATAGACGTGTACAAAGTGTCTAGATATACAGTAAGCATTAATAGCCATATTTTAATTAAATAAGCAGACACTTCGCTCAGATTAATTTACAAATGCTTACAACAATTTGCCTAGAATATTTTTTATTAAAGCATCATATGGTCCTTCCCAATAATAAAAAATAATTTGTTTTTTTAATAGCGTCTTGAAAGGGAATATTAACTTTATGACATTAGGCTGTCACTGTAACATTTCTGCAAACTATACAGATGTGTTAGTAAATGCATAAAACTGAAGGGAAAATATAAAACTTGAGGCTCTCTTAAATTATAAGGGATGAATATGTAAAAATAAAAACATAATAATTAAATGGAGGTTTAAGAGATTCATGACAGAACAGTAATTTAATGCAAGAAAATTATGTATTAAGTATAGGCAAATAAGCGTTCAACTTTAGGGTAATATCAATGGCATTGTATCTATTAGTCTATAATAATTATCAGAATTGACAAGCCATTTTCATTCAAATTTGCAAAACCAATATGCAAAAGAGAACGTTTCACTTGCCTTTTCTTTTTCAACAAATCCAATAAAAGTAGTTCTTTCAATTTCCACGGGTTGTCCTTGTCTGTCGTATAGCGCTAAAACGAAGTGGAAGAAGTTGGATTTGCGAAGATTTGAAGGAGGCTGTTTCTCAAAGTGCGCTCGAGCAAGACCCACTCCACTATGAACACACAAGACAGACAGAGAGAGGATGAAATATTTATATATGTATATTTACAAAAATATAAACAATACTTTTGTGATTATTTAATTACAATTTCCTAAAAAGGGTTACAAAATATTTGTAGTTTTCAAATTGCAGTGCAAAAGCTCTTCAAATGTACTTTTGACAGTTTAATAGTTTAAACAAATATGAATATAGCCTATGATAGGCTAGTCTTTTAAAAACCGGAAATTAAAACTGTATGTAAACGTTTTCATTATTTGTATTCTCTTCAGTAGCATTTTATAACAATAATATGTCATTGTTGTTAATCAAAAATAATTAATATAAATATAACTGAATCTAACTACTATGTTCAGCAGCTTGTGACAAACTACAGGTCTGGATTGTCTTTCAAATTCAGTATTTAAAATGTAAAGCTACAGAATTCATGCAAAATTGTTGTTTAGAAACCCAAAAAAAATCGCTTTTTTTAAGCAAATGTCTATTTTAACATTAGAAATAATATTGTTAGAAATAAAAATTAAAAAAACGTTTTAATGTGACTTGCAACTCAAGCATTCTGTCTGTTGGTGCCAACAGCTATGCTATGAACTTATCGCAGCAATAAATCAATCTCTTTGTCACCTGGTTATTAATAAGCAGATAGCGCGCACTGATTAGGATGATATACAAGAGCGTTTTGTGTCGTCCAAGGATGATAAGCGCACAATACTCCGTCTAGTTGTTCCCGTAGCGCTGAAGACCGCCGCCGGCTTACCTCTGAGCGGCTGTGTTCGCATCCAACACCCCGGCACCCTGCATCCATGTCCGGACAGCGTTCATCCCGGCACCGATGGGCTCCTCTTTCATACTACTCCCGCTCCTTTGAATGCTGTCTTGAATCCCGAACATGAAAACAGACTCCTGTCACCGTCTCAGTCGATGCTTGCTTCTTTTGATCGCTCCGTTAAAAAAGACAGTGAGAAGTGTATGGGTGAGCAGGTGTCACCGCGTTTGTCTCTATTAGCGCTTCCTCTCTGAAACAGAAAATAGAGAGACGTGCCAAAAGAAACGCGAGATGTCAACATCCAGGTTTGGGAACACCGTGCAACAATAATCAAACAAACAAAAACTGCAAGATTAGACTTGGAGGTCCCTTTGGTCTACCGTGCGCAAAAAAAAAAAGTCTAATGTCACTTTAAGAAACAATAGGATCAAGAACGGGCTTCGCTGAGGGTTAGATCAAATGTCATCATCCAGAGACTTTTTTCTCTTTATTTTCTCCTCCTTTCCTTTCCTGTCTTTCTCCACAAAGAGTATTCTCTGATCAAATCACATGAATGAGCTATATGAAATCAACCAGGAGAGGTGGACCCTTGTGGAGACAGCTCCCTCGCTGTTCCCCTTGTTCAAACGGGAGTGATTTGTGTCCTTTCCCAAAGGAATCTGATTTGACTGTCTCTGGGAACCAAACACAAGCAAACTAACCCCAAAGGGAGGAGGAAGAGGAGGAGGGAATGACTGCGCACGCAGGGCCGCCCCCCAAACATAAGTAAAGCCGAACTACCATTAGCTGTCCACCCAACCACGAAGCCCGTCGCCTAATTAGATATCACAGCCCGCCCTGCCCACTTAGCGAGCGGCGTGTTCAGAGAGAAAACTAGAAAGAAGTCATGCGCGCGTTAAATATCACGCGACGCGAGTAACTGCCTGGGAGCGCGCGATTGAAGCCAAATTGAAGTGGTTCACTTGAACGCGGAGTTATTTGTTTTAATATTGCAAGGTTATATTTTAGAAACGGCACACTAAGTTTATTTACATACTGGTCTAGGGATGAGCTAGCTCGAGGATTATTTAATAACTTTCAAGGGTTGGACTCTTGAAAGGGATTTTTCAAGGTTCGTCTCGAGATGTTCAAATTGTCTTTTGGCGCCCGTTGCAAAGTTAAGCAAAAATCAATTAGCCTAAATATTTTTTTTTTTTAACAAAACGCAACAGTGTTTTTGAGAAATGTAAATATAATAAAGTGATAAATGACAGTATTTTTATTTATTTTGATTGAAATATCGATAATGGTCCTGACACAAAGTGCTCAAGCAGCCTACTGTTGCTATGGTTACCTGCTAGGCGAACGCTATTTCTGTTTTTGAGCATTTGTTAACTCTTACTAACTTTTGTAATATAACTTTTGTTGTTTACTGAAACAACCCCAAGCAGCCGCGGTCATATTAGAATAGTGTTCTTTATTTAAAACACGTCTGTCAAATCAAATGAATTAAGACCACGATGAAATAAACAGAAATAATGACACGAGGGTTTATATTAAATGTAGCCTATGTAGGCTAGAAACCTTAGCTCATGTGACATGTTTGACAAATAATGTGAGGAAATTAATAATAAGTCCTTAAAAGATTTAGTAAAAAAGACATTAAAGCATTACACTAAATGTGATGTTTGTGGCTTTTATTTCCAACAGATCAGTTGTTATCAATGAAAAACAGCCTATTACTAATATGATCGAATTATTTAAGAGGCATACATTGTATTTTAAAAAAGACATTGCTGATAAATAAGTCATGTACAGACATTATGGGCTAAAACATTTGTTCTGACAAACGACAGTAAAAGCATTAAAAAACTGGATATTCAGACCCAAACAGTTTAACAGCTGCTTTGTTAGATTCGACATAAAACGACAGTAATATGTACAGGAGTAAATGCTAGGAGCGCAAACCATTTTACAGCAGCTTGTGTTTTTTTCCCCCCACATAACAATAGTTTTGTTTTAGATTTAGAATGCAGATATAAAGCTTTATTATAGGCCTATTTTAGAAATGTGCAAAAGTGAGCACAGTAATGCACGGGAAATATTGCTAGACCTAAATAAAATCCTCCACAGCGGACAGAGGAAGTATAAGAGAGTCCCGTCCAATCCAGTGCTGGTCAGGCAGAGGGGAATTCTGCTCCCCCTGCGGGTCCCTGTATATTTACATTCCCACACAGCAGTTTTAAGTGGCAGAACCTACACACGGAGTCTCAGTGGAAACGGTGTATTTTCATGTGTCCAAATAAGAAACAGACCTGTTATTTAGCCTATTAAAACGCGTTTTGTGCATCACTTAAAATACATATAGCTTCAAGTGCATGTCTGTGCGTTTGGGAAGAAAAAAAAAACATGTGCCCGTATTCATGATAATCATATAAAAATGTTCAAATGAACCTTTATATAATATAACTATTCTTATTGCTGACAGCGACACATTCTATTTGATTTGTAAAACAGATGTCCACATAAATCACGCTGTCGTTGATGAGTAGCCTACTAACCCCATAATTGAATTGAATTACCATAAAATAAATCATAATGTAAAACAAAGTTCTTGTCACGTGAGATAATTCAGTCAGTAGGTTACTTTTGTCAGTTTCAAACTATTAGGCCGCATGCCAACATTTTAGGCCTATATATATCTTTATATATAAAAGGCTATTAACACTGTCGGGTAGTTTTGATAGAATGCAGTAAATCGGTACAAAATGTTTCTTTTTTTAATTCTTTTTTTTATGCGTGAAGGTCAGACTGCGAGAAAGTAACTCGATAATAACTGTGTTTATTAATGTAGCCTCCCAAAATAACCAGTAAAGGCTATTACCTCTGACTTTGTGCATCATCTCAGTTTGACGTTGCAGAGAAATTGAGAAATACGAGTTTCAGCTGGTGGAGATAATGACAAATGCTAAAAAAAAAAAAAAAAAAAAAAAATGTGTGGATATTTTGTACATAGGCCTACGTATAACGACTGAGTTGAAACGAAAAGAAATCGCATGCTGTGTTTTGGGCTCCTCAAAGAAGCAGGAGGCGCGTGGTTAATCGTTGACAGCCCAACATTACCATCTTGTGGCCACACATGGAAACACATATATCTTTAAATACAAATATATCTTTAAAACATTTGTGTATTCGCTTGTGTCATCATTCCAATCCAAACCCGTATGGCGTTCTTAAGTGAAACGAAAGGAGATGTTAGGTAGAATGCGAGGGACAGACAGACTCAGTTACAATTAACTTTCATTGCATTTTTTTCTCTCTCCATAAAATGGAAGTAAATGATAACTGACAGTCATTCTGAGTAAATAGGGTAGAGTGGGGGGAAACGCCCCCCCCCTTAAGGACTGTTTCATTTTTTTCTGTGAAACAAAAATGAAATGTGTCCAGAATAGTTATCATAGTTTTAGTGATAATGACATAAATTATAAACCAAGTGTGAAAAAATGTCCAGTTTGCATGTTATTAGATAACAAATAACAAAGGTGGGGTAAAATGCCCCTAGTCTGACAAAGCAATTTGCTTTATATATTGACAGCAAAATGAGAGTACAGGCATGTTGAGCTTAACATTACATAGAATATAATAAATAATTATCAGTTACAAAATTACAATAGCCTATTTGAAAAATATTGTTAGCTGATGCTAACTGACTAGCTAACTAGCTACCAGATGCTAAATTGAGGTAATTAAAAAAAAAAAATGTTATTAGATAACAAATAACAAAGGTGGGGTAAAATGCCCCTAGTCTGACAAAGCAATTTGCTTTATACATTGACAGCAAAATGAGAGTACAGGCATGTTGAGCTTAACATTACATAGAATATAATAAATAATTATCAGTTACAAAATTACAATAGCCTATTTGAAAAATATTGTTAGCTGATGCTAACTGACTAGCTAACTAGCTACCAGATGCTAAATTGAGGTAATTTAAAAAAAAATAAAGTCTAAATATTTTTATTCAACCAACTAGTTAGAATACATTTGATGGAAAAACAAAGGATCTGATGTTCAGAACAGAGTAACTAACTACATTAATTAAGTCATGCCCCCTGGGGGCATTTTACTCCACAGACTAGGTTTAAAAAACAAGCTTTAAAACACTTTTTTTTTTAAAGTGAAAATTAAAGCTGAAAATTAATCACTTATTGTGAAATCTGTTTTCTCTCAGGTACATCACCAGTGTACGCTTTATGGTGAATACTCCTACATCACTCTTGTCCAACGTAGTCTAGTCTATAGTTACAACAAAAATTTATCTTGACTTTATCTAGTGGTTATTTTGGGAAAAACAGTAGGGGGTCATTTCCCCCACTCTAACAGAATATTTGGCTAAACTGTCCTTAAATCAGAATTACATTGATTGATAGTAGACCTACTTTTGATTAGATGTACATTACAACAGAGCCCTTATCAAGGTTTATGTTGGAAGAGAATAAAATGATACTTGACCTTAACCTGGCTGTTCTGTTGAAGGCCTTTACTGTATACACACACTGAGAGACACACAAAAGGAAATGAATGGAGGAGAAACTCACACTGGAGGGGACTTGTGAAGACAACATAATTTATATTCTGGTTCCGTGAGGAAAAAGTACCTAGGGAATATCTGGCCTTTCCAAAATGACAGAGTGCTTTGTTCTTCGGTTTCACATGTATTTTTTATTTTTGTACTTTTTTTTCTCTTTTTTACACAAAGGTCAGAGTTCAAGGCTAACTTTGATCAGAAGGATGGAGAGGGGTTAAAGGGTAGCACTCTTTGATTTGCTAATGTTTCCTCCATTCTCTCTTCCTGCCCCTCATGCTTAAGGGAGTTAAAGTGCTCACACAGGAAAAGTGAATAAATGCTCACATCTGCCTACACTGAGACACCTCACACTGCGCTCAAATATCACGGGAATATGCTTATGCCATAACTTCAAACTGTTTATCACATTTCCAAATCCATACAGTAAAAGAGTTACTTTAAAAGAATTATGACTATGACGACTGCACAGACTAGGGGCGTACAGCAGGCCTAACTCTATAAGGGAGGGAAGGAAAACCAGTGATCTTCAGACCTCTGAAAGATGGTGAGTGGTCAGGAAATGTGTGCATATCCTGTCTGTAGTCTCTTCATCAGATGTTTGATGGTTTCAGCAGTCTGACATTACCTCAGCACTCAGGTGTGGGTCTGTTTGATTCATCACAGGTGGCTTTAAGAGTCCGGTAGGTCTTATTATGCTTCAGAAAGGTGCTGTGAAAGAAAGCCAGGACAAACGTTTAATGGGTTAGATTTGGATTCATTCTGACATTCAGGCTCACGTTCAGGCATATTTTACTGAATTCAGCTGCAATTCAAAGAGAAGTTAGCCTTCACAGAACATCACATATTTATGCTGTATTTCTAAGGAGGATAAATTCAGAATGTTAATAGGATTATTCTCACTATCAGTAAATGTTGTTTTAACATCATGTCCTAGATTAAAGAACTGAAGAGGTTTTAAGGTTTTAATGCTATGTCCAATAACCGTTAGTCAATATTAAAATGTAAAAATGAAACACTAAAAACTAAAGAGGCAGTTTAAATGCTACAATTGAATTAAGGCATCACACCATTATAATATA